TTTGGCCTCGATGACCTTGGAGGATTCGGTGTCGGTTGTCACGTTGAGTGGGGCGGTGGAGGAAGCTGATGAGGAGGCCATTGTAGGCAGACATGCATTTGTGTATCTAAGGATGTTTGAGGGGAGGAATCATAATAGGATGACAACTGAGGAGAGGTCTTTCAGAGTTAGGTAGTTGGGGGAAGAGATCGATGTTGCTACCTAGATACTGAAGGGTATATTTAGGTGGGGATTGCTTGTTGAACCCAAATGACTACTGGGAAGGAACGTTGTTCAGTAAGTACATACTTTCGCTTTCCTAAAGTATCCAATATTACCGAAAACTTCGGTAGAGAACATCAGCAGAATGATTAAGAAGAAGTTGCATTAATACAAGCAAGCAAATCTACAACTGGGCTTTAATTTCCCATGCTCTGAAAATTCTTGATGAAATGTGCTCATTCCCTCACAGGAGGTCGGCCAAAGTAAGGAATAAATTACCTGCGTTTCTCTCACAAGCATTCCTTCATACCAATAACTCAAGGCTTAATAGGGGACTGCTAAGAATTGGGACCATAAGTCATGTGCACTTCTCCGTGCATCTCTTCTGTTGATATTTAAGCGAGCCCCGAAGTCACTCTTTCTCCTCAACTGCTCTAGCCACATGAGAAAAGGTTAATGATCTGTTACCACTATTCTATTGAACGACTATAAAAACTACGCCGTACTAGGCGCTCTGTCATTTCTGCGAGTGGGCATTCTTTTCCCCCATTAAACCCCTTCTTCCCCATTTACCATTTCCTTTTTACCCCTGCTTTTACCTTGACCACTTCTTTTCCCTTCACCCCTTCTTCCCACCTTACCCCTGCATTTCCCTTGATCACTTCTTCCCTCTTCACCATTACTTCTCCTTTGCCATTTTTCTCATTCAAGGCACATGTTATGACGACTCCCTCATCGTCATGTGGGTTCTTTTCTTCTTTTTTGGCCGCACTGCTGGGATCCTGAATGGTGCTTTGTTCATCCTTAACGTTCCCACCTTCAGATTTCAGAAGGATTAATGCCGTTATTGCCTCGAATTCGTCGTTTGTTTTCCCAACGTCAAACATCTTCAACTGCGCTTCCAGTTCCAGGCCATGTATCTACCCAGCCAAATTAGTACCAGTAGTCTTCAATGTCTCAAGATCTAAGAGAAGCATAGACACGACAAATTAAAAGGTTCAACACCAATCACAGGCTCTCTCCTCCCAGATTATTGAAAGAGCGATTAAAAATCGACTGACCCTTTCCCAGCTGTCACAATCTACGTCATAGAATCCCAGTGTCAGCTTATTGATTGAACATCCCAGGGCAGATACTTGAATTTCTGTAAAGTACATGCATGGTACATGTAAGAACTGTTCAGACAGCTGCTGAGGCATGATGAATAAAATGGAAAGATGATCTGAGATGATAGGACTTACGAGGACACCTTTCAGATATATCCACCGTACCACAATCGTACCTATGCTCCATTGGTATTTCCGACCCGTTTTGGTAGGGTCGACTCGGGTTCGACGAAGGGAGATCGCCCCCGATTTTCAATACGACCAAGACTGTCCAATGACCCATATGAAGCCGTGACAATTCCTTGCATCTTTGTCCATTCTAGGGGGTGATTTTGTGGGTAATAAGATTGGAATTTAACTTGGTTGATCGCCGGTAAGAAATACTCCGCCCTTTCAATGATGCTTTTCAGGTCGTGGATGCCCATATTCGCAACCCCGATAGACTTGGCCTGTCCACTTTTCTTGATCCTTTCCATCACCCTCCAGGCAGCAAAAAGTACCAAAGGATGGTCATATGGCTCCCAATCCATCAAGTACAAATCCACATAGGTTCCTCCCAAGCTTAGGAGTGCGTTAGAGATCACCGTGCCCATTTCCTCAAGGATGTAGACTTTTGCGGTAATGAAGATTTCGTGACGAGGGATTCCGGATTCCTCGATAGCATGTCGAATCCCGACCAATTCTTCGGATTCTGTAATATTGATATGACGATACCCGAGCTGTAGAGCATGCTTGACTTCTTCGTAGCTCTTGGTGACCGAATTGCTCGTTCCTATTCCAAGCGCCGGTATAACGTATCCATCGTTGAGCGACATTATTGGGACTTTGATGGCCATTGTCAAGTGAAGAGTATTAAAATTGAAAAGTAATCTAATTAAAGCGATGAACAATTGAAAATGATGTGATTGAGCAGAATGCTCTCCTGGAGAAGGGGAATGGACTTCTGAAGTGGGCCATGGAGTAGGCGTGACTTCAACGAAGGAAAGAACCACCTGCCTGCCTGACGACCAAATTTTGTCGCGTCTTACTTCAACTCCGCTACAAGAGAAGGATATAATATTGAAATTTATTGTTCACAGCAAGATAGGGGATGTTGCTGGACAGACATAGCTACCGAGACCAAGAATTTAGACGCCATGATCATATTCTCATGGGCCATGTCCCAGGGAGTACCGTCTTGGCTCGCTGTCTGTAGAAGGAGATGCTCTGCAAGGAAGATATATGAGGCTCGTATGGAGGGGATAGAAGGCATCTACTTTCCATAAAGATAACGATCAGCAGGGTTGTTTCGTCCAGCAGCGTGGAGCTCATCTGTCTTGCGAGCAATTTGGCCAAGGATCACCAGCACTCAGTCACCCTGAGGGTTTCGCTTGCGCGATGTCACATCGCAAAGCTTCCAACCTGGAAAGCTTAAATGATCAACTCTAACCCAGAAACAAGGCATAAAACAGCCGCATACTTTACCAAGCGGTAAAAGTTGCCTCTTTTCCCAAGTCTCCACGATCTCCAAAGTCAATGTGAGAGGCAGGTTTAAGGTTTGAAGACCCGAATTTGTAATCCCGGTTTGTCCTCGGCCCCCGATACATAGCTAGAGGCGGTGATGAACTTCAAAATATTCCAACTGGTTTCTGGACATCCCCATAGTCGACAACACATCCATGATGAATTCTCCCTTTTCCAAACTCTGCAATTGACGATGACGATGGCATCCGGAGGGTTATACAGCCGTGAACACCCACTAGCTCTCGACCACCCGAGGCTTGGCCGCCACTCGGGTGTGCTGAATACTGAAACCATTCTCATGCAAAGGTGTATTCCGCGCGTCTGAATGTGGGAGTTGCAGATCCTCCTATTCTGATTGATCCAGGCCTTCCCGTCTCGAATTAGAGGCAATCCCGGGGCAAGGCTTGCGACTTTTGCTTGGGCCATAGTTGGTATTTCTAGCGTGTGGACGTACGACAAACCGATCGTAGCTAGGGAACTTGCTACAGGATTTCGACGTTGCAAAGTCAAGTACATTTCTCTTTATTCTGTTCATGTTCCCACACAGGGTGTGAATTGCTTTCTATTGTCTTCGAACTGTCCCATGACGCGATAGTGTACCGCCACGGGAGCTTTGCGACCTCAGTTGAGGTGTTACAATTTTGAGGGGAGAAGAAGATCAACGACCAAGATGACCACTAATTTCGAGAGCGGAGGCACTTTCACGGAATCGATACTGCGCGGTACTGGCAGCCATGTCTTTATTTCCATAGTAATCCTGGCCCTGCTAGGAGTTCTTTCGCCGGTGATGACTAGATTGGGGTTTTTAGACGAGAACGAACCGCTTTAATTGAAGTCGAGGATGCCCTTTTGCGGCCATTTGTTGGGGATGCTGAAATGGCAGTTTGGCTACTTTCAAATGTTGAGGTATTTCGGAGTGCTAGAGAAGGTCGCAGTATCTCTTAATGTAATCAACGGCGATGTAGAGGTATTCGGCCTCTGTAGATGGGTTCGAGATGTCTTGACGTTGGCAACCACAGACGCTTTATATGGACCGCAAAGTCCGTTAATCGCCGACCACAGCCTAATCGACTTGTCCACGGTAAGCAGGATCCACTTGCCCAGACATCAAGCATTTATTCCAAGAGTTCAAGCTACAAACCCCACAAAACCCTGCGTTCATTGCTTTCATTATTCTAGCTAACATCCGGCATAGGGGTTTTGAAGATAAGCTGACTCTTCTGATGCTCAACTTCCTCCCTACCATCATAGCTCCCAAAGCGTATCTGGGACGGATCCGCATAAAAAGCGCCTTCACATCTTTCTATGCCAACAATCATGAGCTTACATCTTCGAAACTAATACAGGCACGTCTTGCCTGCTCTCAAAAATGTGGTTTTACTCCAGACGGCGACATCGTTAATTCCGAGATCTCCATTCTCTTCCTGCCTACCACCAATTCAGTACCGACGTCGTTCTGGCAGCTGAGTTACATTCTTTCTTCGCCCACTCTCTTGGAGCAAATAAGAGCAGAGGTCGAGTCAATTGTGACTCGACAGCCATCCAAGGAAGATGGAAAAGAAGAAGCCGTAATGGATATCACACGCTTCCAAACGCAATGTCCACTTCTCCTCTCCACTCTACACGAAACCCTTCGCCTAGTCGACGCAGCGACATCTGTCCGCGCCATAATTAAACCCACGACATTATTCTCTCCAGCTCCCATCAGGAATCACTCAAATATCGCCCTATATCGCATTATTTTTTTACGAGAAGCCAATGCATTTTAAAGATTTAGGGAGCATTAAGACATGTACAAATAAACCAATGCAATGATACACAAAAGCCTGAAGACCTACCTACTCATCACATGCTGGCTATGTATGTGTAAATCAAAAATGTCGCAAGGTATGAACAACGAGGGAGTCTAGCAGTTTCAAGGTTTCAAGGATTCTAATAACAAGAACACTAATTAATCATGGGGAAAATCCAAAAGTCCTGAAATAAAAACGAGATATTGAATTATCAAGACAAGGGTGATAGAGAAACCACGTGAAGCCTAAGGGGGCACATTCTTACCGACCTCGCGCTTCGCGGCCTAAACAATCCTTTCAAAGCCTCATCCAGAATAAAAAAAAAACTCTTTCAAACCCTATCAACTCTTGCTCTAGGGGAATCACCTTTCAAGCCCCAAAAAGACAAAAGAGTAATTTCCGGAACGGGGAATTGAACCCCGGTCTCCTGCGAACAAATTTCCTATCGAATGGACAGATTAATGAGAGGCAGAAATGCTAGCCACTACACCATTCCGGATGTCTTGCACCATTGCTGACGTTTGATTGTGACAGGTTCTGCTTATGCGAATTATTAAACGTATTAGTTTTTTGCGGGATTGTTTTGTTGCGATGTCGGTGTGCTAGACGGGGAATGAATGGATCTTGGGGCTGCTGGTGGGGGCTTGGTGAGTTCAGGGTTTATTTGACTCCGATTTTCGGACTTTTGAACCTCTCGCTTTGCAACCAAGGGCCAGAACGAGCTAAGGTACAGCATTGTTTAAATAGGGGCCTCGTTACGAGGTTACAACTTTATGACTCTCTAAGCAATGGCTTGCGAAATTGACATCTAATAGCCAGAGACAAAAAAATACTGGAGCTGTTTACGATCACATAATCTCAAATACCGGTCAGGGAAAACATATACTCACTACATCTTTACCACGTGTGCTAATCTTAAAGCTAAAGATTGTTCTAGGGTTGAGTATTCGTTAAGTGATGCCGTTGACTTTTGGTTTTCTGACTTCCTGAAAGCGCCTCGCTAAGCGGCCTGAGATGGCATACAGAACTGGGGGCTTGTAAACAGTGTGACGCAACCAGTTGAAATCTAAAGTGCCTAATGATTTTGAGACATTAGAAGAAGGGCGGTGCTGTTCCAAGTTGAGGGAGATTGAGTTGGCTGTAAAGAATGGAAACACATTTCGTAATTTGCATGTGGGCGGAATCAATGAGTATCTCGACCGAAATGTCATCAAGCGAGGTTAGGCAACGTACTTCATCAGGTAGTTGGTGACCCAATTTCGTCAAACAAAAGCAGTGCGAATACAATTTTCTTACGAATAATTGACAGCTGCAATATTTATGGCCTCGGCTCGGCTTCCCGTCAAAGGGTAATTCGGGTCGGCTTTCCCTTTCAAGCGCTGTCAAATCCTCAGAATGGTATTGAGAGTGTCAGAGTTCACGACGAGGGCCAGCCGACTTCTCTTAAGGTTGTTCAAATGCCTACTAATGTTATCGCAAGTTTTGGATACCTATAAATATCAGTTTAGTGAAAATGTGCCGGTCAATGGCGCAGGCATGAATGCTGGTTAGTTTGAGAGTTTTTGATTTCTTTGGATAACCCCCTCCTCATTTTCACCAGAATTAAATTTTATGCAAACATCCGCACCCTACTTAACAGCGTTTCTTGGCGAGTCACTGAAATAGGATTACTAATGTGCTTCCAAACGGTCATTTACAGCATTTGGGTATTAGTACGTAGCTCCAAAAACATATCCCCAATCGACGGAACTTTGCGGAGTCTGCAGAGCGCAACGGATATGCTGAATATGCTTTCACCGTCGAGTGATGGTGATGATGACGACAGCAACAAACGCCCATCCGAAACTCGGGAAGGTCAGGAGCACGAAGCAACGAGTGGATGCCATAACATTCCCTAGTAACGGACTTGAAATACCATCGATAAAGGCCACTTAGTCATCGCTGATGGAATTATATTGATTGGTCTTACCAATGGACATTCTTCTATCAATATAAAGATATATAACACAAATGTCGTCGGGTGTTAACTCGAATGTGCATTGCAGATCTCTGAGGTGGGAACATTTTGATAGCACAGGCAAGCCATATGAAATCGATATTTCTACATAACTCGATAACAAATGAGAGGGCCCAAAGAGCGCAGAATAAGGAACCACCAATAGTTGACACAGGACGCTGTTGCGCACAACGAGAACAGAATGTATAAGTTTGGGTGGCTCAGGTCGAATGTTCCCTCATTTCATTGCGATCCGAAAGGATTTCCCCAGTGGTTCGTTCAAAACTGGCACGCTTTCGCGCGCGAACATTGTCTCATCAGTGCCGGTTACGATACTACAACTGAAGGCGGAAGCTTTTGAGGAGAAGAAAGAAGAGGAGGAGAAGGAATTGGAGTCGAGTTATATGTGGGAGGGTCTGCACCGCCGCTAACGCCTCCGCCCTTGATGACATAGATATTGTAAGTAACCGAGGTCGCTCAAAAAAGAGGCACTGAACTCCCTCAACCCATTTTTGGCGGTTACTGCGGGAGAAAAAAAATGCTTTTGTAGGGCGATGGATGTAGAATGGGACTTAACTGAGAGTTCTCACTGTACATCCTTCTTTCCTACTTGTACAAATACAACTGCAATTATCTTGGTCTCTCGTCAGTGACGTTATTGATATTAGTGCTACGAGCCTCCCGAGTGCCGTGATGGTCTCCCTGGTGTTGGTGATTTCTGCTACGTTGAGGCACTGAGGAAGAATGGTAGATGCGAGGAATTCCGCAGCCTGTGGATGCCAGACGAAATGGTTTGAAGAGTAAAGAATGTCGATTGCCTCTACGTAGCTGAGTGCACGATGAGAAGAAGTCAAAAGCCAACAAAAAAGATCCCGAGATATTCAATGCTCAAGCCACTGTTATGATTGGAGATGTTTATTTGGAATATCACATGAAGTTCCATTTCCAAGTGAGACTATAGTAATAAGTCATGAAAAAGTTTTGAAGCAAGAAAGAAAGATGCCGTTATCCAAAAACGGGCGAAATAGCCGAATCCAACAAAGCTAGCGAGTAAACAAACATAAAATGTAAACTCATAACGATATCTTGCTATGGAAGTACCATAACCGATAGACATGCTGTGGAGGTTTTGAGAGACTCCTGTCAGAAAAAATAGTTTACAAAGAGCTGTATCTGACACTGGCATTCCCCGAACTTTATTTTCATGATCTCGGGAAGTTGAATTGTCTTCCTCCTCATCGTCGTGCTCGTGAAGTGTGACCAATTCAAGAGGTCCTTCTTTGTACTTCCATGGCTTAGGTCGCACAGGTGGCTCTGGCAGAGCGAACATACGCTGCCATTCTGGCCAAATCCTGCACTGGGAGATATGGTTTACAACTTGGTTCTTCTCCCTTTCGTGCGGGCCTTGGAACGCTGTCCATATATGAGGATAGCACTCTTCATCGAAGAGGAACATCATAACTAAACCAAGTCCTAGATCGTGAGACTTGCCGAATTTATGTGCCGATTCGTGCCGGATGTAGTCCTTCAGATCGAATCCGAGCTTTTGAACGGTTTGAAGCCACGATTCTATACATGCCGAGTAGGTGTGTAGAGGTTTGGCATCGCCATTGAATTGAATCAGATCAAGCATTAAGCCATCGAGAATAGTATGTCCAGATCCGGTCTGGCAATAGAAATCTGCGCCAGACTCCAAGAGCGACTTGACAGTGTCGAAGGAAGCATTTATTGCACCTGTGCCTCTATCCCAAGACTCCCAACTAAGTGGAAGGTTGTGCTGATTTCGGTAGAAAGGATCGTGGTAGTCGAAGAATTTGTCGTACAAATTCCAGACAGCAAGCTGGAGCATTGTCACATCTAACGAAGGTGGGTTAAAATTTGAGCTGTAATAGAATTGAGAGCTGTTACCTTCAATTGGTAATCCGTAACGTCGAAACCGCCATGTTCTAGCACAAGATAGGTTGATCTCGATCCCATGTCTCAATACGGTGTTAAGAAGTCCTAGTGATAAGTCTGGTCTCTGAGCAATGAAAGCTGCCATCGTAACACCACCACTACTTGCGCACCTCATTTCAATGTCTTGGTAAGTCTGACTCATGAGCCATGACAAGGACTGGATGTCTGGGTTCATAGCCGCTTCAAATATAGGTGTAAATCCAAGACGGTCGAACAGCATTGGGTCGTTATTGCCGCTCTCAACAAGTACCCTAAGACTGTCGATACACGAGGTTCTGGTTTGAATCCTATAAGGATAGTGTCTTGAGCTGCTCTGAGTTGCTAGGTGCAGAGGAGATCGTAAACGGCGGGTCAAGCAATTCGTCTGAGCACCTAGGTCGATGAGCATGTGGCAAAGCTGCGCATGATGGCCAGCAGCAGCGAACTTGAGTCACTAATGAGCATACGACACAATCGCCTAGATTGATTTAACTCACGTGTATTGGAGACCAGCCTTCTGGATCAACGTCATATGGTGATGCATCGCCATCGTCAAACAACTTGCGCACATTCTGTACATCACCTTTGAAACAGAGCTCGAATATACTAAATGCGCTGGGGCGCAGGTTCCATGCCTGGAGGCCAGTTTTCCAAGAACTGTGCTGATAGGAAAAAGTCCACTCTAAAACAGTTCGCATCATGGATGGGAACAGAATCACTGTTATGCGATGCTGCTTTTGCCGTTTGGACACATTTGACCGGCCACCAGGACTAATAACAAGTGGACGAGAACTAGCGATGCGGATAGTGAGGGTTCCAAAACTCAGGCCTAGCTCATAGCTGTGCGACTCCATAGAATGAGTTCTCGCCCTAAAAGCTGTATTTGGTCGTCCAGTTCCAGCTTGAACTCCGTGGCTAGCTACCGATATTGACATCTCATATGAGGAGCTCGCATGAGAAGGTCCGGCACTCTCACTGAGAAGACGAAGTGTCGAATCGCGTTGTCGCCTACTTCCCATCAGCACGAAAAATCCAACCTCTCTAATAGGAAACATACCCATTCCTAAGCCTCTGATACAACAAAAGCATACTCTTCGCCCTCTCCACCTCCGCCCAATAACTCAACACCTTCTTCTCCCTAACCACCTTCTTCAAACACATCCACTTCCTCTTCACACCCCTCTTCTGCAATCCCACATCCAACTCCCTAGTCAACATCTCCAACTTCTCAATACTCGTGACACATATCCCCAAACAATCATTCGCTAGCGACACATCACTAGCGTTCTCAGCTTTGCATTGGATCGAATCAGTCTCGATAGCTCGGAGAACTTCGCAGAAGACGAGCAGATGTGTCTTTATTTCTAGGATTTCGGCTGGTGCGTCGATGATTGAGTCCCAAAATGAAATGAGTTTCTGGATGCTGGAGGTGAGTTGGACGGCTACGGAAATGACGGCTAAGACGCTGGATGCTGCTGCTAAGGCTTCCATTCTCGTCTCAGCCTTATCACTTTACGCTGTGTGACTCCGAGCTGGTGCTGTAGAAAACCGCCGATTGCGAGAGAATA